GAAAATAGCAGATCCTTCCAAACCGTATTATGAAGATGTTACTTTTACTGCATTTACACCTGATAAAATTCCAGATCCAAAGCAGTTTAAAAATCCAAAAAGACGTACAGTCATTATTTTCGAGGACATGTGTGCTGAACCCCAATCAATTCAGGATCGTATTATTCCATTTTTTAACAGAGGTCGGCACAGTAATATCTCTGCCATCTATATTACACATAAATTTACACAAGTACCAAAAATCATTCGTGAAGGAATTACTCACCTCGCATTATTCAATGGTGGGGGATCAACAGAAGATATTGCACGAATTATAAGACAATACATAGAGGAAGATCCACGTAAAGCTTCTAAAATCATCAATAAATATTTGCGGAATGGTGAATTCATTGTCTTTGATACCACTATACCAATCTCCAACCCTATGGCTCTTAGACTCGGTTGGATGAACCCTCTAGACTTGGAAAAAGAAATCAAATCATTAACAGCGCAATAAAAAAAGATTTCTAAGATTAAATCACTTCAATGTAAGCAATCAATGATAGGAATTTTTAGTGGAACTAGCTCCGCTAAGCTTGAATAACTTATCTTCCGCCTCCTGCAGTTACAGCTTCATTTTCTCAATCTCAAATCACAATTTCTTATTTGCATTAACCTGTTCCTCATAATCTCTAGTGATGCCTTGCATGAATTTTCCAAATGTATCTACATTATATTTAAGCAATTGCTGATGAAAAATATCAAGCCCTTTTTTGACCTGACAATTAATCTCTTCCTCATGATCACGCATACAAATTGGAGTAATATTTATTTTGGGAGAAATGGCACTTTGTGCCTAGGTCTGAGTTTCCTTATTGTTCATATCTATGTTATATATATATGATAAATTTTCAAGTGGTGGGGATTTCCAACACTGTTGTTGTTTTCTATTCTTATAATTCAGAATTTCGCAATCAATATTTTTTTCTGTTTCCAGATAAATACCACTAGCTTGTTCTATGGTAATAGGGTATTTCCCTGTTGTGAGGCTTTTCCATATATTCCATTGTATCAATGGGCAAAGTTCAGTAAGTTTACCCAAATAATATGGATTGAAAGGAGGATTTCCCATGGGTGGTATAGTTACTTTACTGGTCACTGTATTATTAGGAAATAGATAATTCTCAAAATTCTAGGAATTCGAAAAATACAGAACAAAAAAAGATACCAGTCCTCAAGGGGGTATTGAAACATTAAATAAATAAAGCTACTAGCTTTCTTTTAGGAAAGATAGCGCAGATAGATAAGTTAATTAGATACAGTTTATACACTGTTAGCTTGACGCATCTCCTCTTGGATCCCCCACAAGAGTTCGTAATGTTTAGCTAATTCTGTAGCACACATGCCTTCAGGTCTGTAGAAGAGTTCTAACCATTTTTTCTGTATGATAGTGCATGCTTGGATCTTTTTTCCAACTTCTCTTGCACATTTGATCCTTCCAATTGCATTTGTCATCTACAATTCATAGCAATGTAATGCATAATTGTCATTGTATTTACATGTAGATTCGGGTTTTTGTATGATTTTCAAATATTCTTCATAATCCACACCACAGTATTTATTTCCAGTACAATGAGAGGCCCAATGCCTTTCCATTCCAATATGATTATAATTATTTCCCATATTTATGGTCATTTCCCCAGTATATACTAGTTGATCACAAGAGAAACAGATAGCCAGCCCTATTGTAGGAGCATACAATTTCCCATCTGGGAGTCAGGTCAATTTTCTTGCTTCAAGATATTTCTCCCTCCCTCCAGTAGGTAAAAGGTCATTATCTCTGAAATACTGCAAGCAAGGCCAAATTTGTTCTTTCCATTCACCAGGAGTTTCATTGTGCGAACTTGAGGCATCCAGCAATATTCAAACTATTCATCATTACTGCATTTAGAACCAGAATGAGCTATTAATCTGCCAAAATTATTCATTTATATGACCTATTTATATAGTATGTTATAAGTGTATATGATTTAACGAGTTATAGTGTATTTAGGATTTTAGACCTATTAATTTTTATCAATTATCTATTTATTAATATCAAATTCATTTTTTGTGCAAATTCTATTTGAATCATTTTATCATATTTTGTAAGCAATTATGGGGTTTGAGTGAATATGTGAGAATAAAGTCAAACCTTGATAAGCTGAACTTTTGGGAATCACAAAAATAGGATCGGCTTATCAAAATTTGATTTATGATACAAATAGGGCTGGCAGCATAAAGGGTTAAAAGCCTAATTTAGTAATAATTATCTTGACTAAACTTGACTAAACTTGATTGTTGGGTGATCGACCATTTTTAAACCAAATTTTATCATTATAAGATGATGATCATATTCGGCTTAGAAAGTTATATTTTTATTATTTTGTACAAACCATTAAGTTCGGTTTATCAAGTAAAGTAGAAATTATAATAAAATTCAGCTTAACAAAATAATTTTATTAAATATGATTTAGTTAGCCAAATTTGCATCATTATAAAGCAAAAATCAGTTTATGGTAGTTCAGTTTATTGAGATTTGACTGTACAGTGAACTAAGGTTTTCAGCCAAAACTCTCTTTATTAGTAGCCGAAATTGCCAAAACACTTTGGGCAAAAATAATTTTTTTAATAAGCCCAGACTATTTTTTGTTATTAGCCGAAATTGGGTGAAATTACTTTAAAGTTGTTTAAGTTAAAATAAGTTGATTGATATAGTTTTTAAATGTTCATGCTTATAAAAAATGCTGAGAAGCCCAAATTGCCCAAACTAGTTTGGGCTTTGAGAAAACAGTTTGGACCAGAAACCTTACAGTGAACCCTCCCTAAGTGCACACACTATCTATACCCTCCATAAATGCACAGCCCATCTCATCCCCAAGCTTATAGAGAGCTTATAAAATCACCCTCCATAAATGCATGCTCACAAGAAATAGCACTATGTTCCCGAGGGGGGTGCACTTATAGAGGGTTCACTGTATATTGATAAATGGTAAAAAATTGAGATATTAATATATATATATATGGGGGGTTTTCTAGCAAAAACCGGGTATAAGTATAATAAATTTTTTTGAGTGATGATCTTTGCAAAATATGTTACACATATGTTTTTGATATATAAAGTGAATATTTCAAGCCTTATATCTTGTTATTGTACTAAGTAAATAATGTCTAAAATTTTTACCAGTTATAATCCTAGTGGTATAGACATATATTATGCAGAAAACTCAATTTTGGTCTGGAGGCCTTATACACGGTTTTTGCTAGAAAACCCCCCATATATTAGTTGAATGTTCCACAAGATAATTTCTGTAACACTGCTAAATTATATTGTCACCAATTAATTTTTGGGAGAGCGTATTTTAATTGATGATAACAAATTTTTATTCTTTTATGTGGATCAGAATGAATAGGCTAATATTAACGAATTAGATTTATTAGCGAATAATTTTGTTTTAGTGATTTGATAAAAATGATTTATTTGATTTTGTATTTAGTCGAAACTAATTATTAACTTATTATTAAGTTAATTTGTTACAAAGTTATTCCTTGATTACAGTGAATTCTCATTCCTTATATACATGTTTGATTATATGTGTCCTAGTTTAGGATAATTAGCCTAGATTAAGATATTTCTCCTGATTCAAGATAATTCTCCCAAGTTAGGATAATTCT